GGCTGGGGACACAAAGGACATATTTACAAATCCAGAGCTGAAGGAAGGCTACACGTTCGGCATGAGTAGGTTCCGAATTGGAAGCAGTATAAAGGTCTAGAATGCTCGAATAAGATTCAGTAACTCTCTTATCAAATTTTGGAGCAGAACCAGTGACTAAAAGGCCAGGAAATATAGTATTGCCCAAAGGGGAAAGGTTCACTAAGGCTCCAACATCCCTTAAAGTAATGGACATTGGGCCAAGAGAAAATACAAAAGTATTATACTCAAAAGACCAAAAGCTCAGTACAATTGGAAAAAGCATCGAATCATAAATTGGGGGTTGAGGGTAATTTTCAATAAATTTGAAATTCTTGCACGATCAAAAAGTGCTTTGTTGGGGTCATATTTTACTAAACGTGCCGCCAAAAATGGAAAGTAGAGTCAGTTTTAGGGCAAGTACGAATACCTCGTTCTTGGATTGGCTTCAATGGCAGCGAGTTCAGTAAGGGAGGGTCTTCTCCACCGATTCAGCGTCACTAAACAACGGACCTAGATAAAAATCATAAGGGTCTGGATTGGCTTGAGAAAGAAAGGATGAATTTACGTATGGTCGAGTAAGGAGGTTTTGGAAATCCTCGAAACTGAAAGAATTATCGGATGTAGATGATGAAGTCGCCATTGGATGCTAAGCAAAATTGTTGTAAAGAATTCTGGAGAAACGTAGTAAGGAAGAAAGATGGTGAACAGTGATTTTATATAGAAGCACAATGTAAAGACATGAGGCTAATGGTACGACGAAATGGCGTGTCTTTTGGATTTATAAGGGTTTGTAATGTTGCACCTTTTCACGCAATAGAAGGAAATGATTATTGAAACTCTTGGTAATTTCAAATGTTGCTGAAAAATACAAAGGTGAATATGGCAAAAATTAATAATCGATATTAATTCTGCCATATTGGGGATAATTGTTAACATACAAAAAGTGTAGCCCAATTTGAATGGCCCAAAGAATGAAGCCCAATTGAGAAATCCATGACGAGGGCTCAATTAAGACTTTTGAGAGTATAGTGGAAGCCCACAAACAAACTAACATCATCGTTCAAGTCTGCAGAATGCCTAGAATCTGAGCGAATGAAGTACCTTATTGTCGCCCAGAGCGATGGACCCATCATCGCCCAAACTTTCGAGTCGCCCAGAATCCTAATAAAGATAACATCTTGTTATTATCTAAAGCATCAGTTTGAAGCAGTTTGAGCACATCGTGTCACACCCCATGATCTAGAAATTTTAGTGGCGAGTAGTTATGCAAAGAGCGTAGTGGCAGCAGTTACGAACGCTAGTTTTCGAAGAGTTGGCCATTACAAAGAAAGTGGGCGGTTACAAGCAGTTTTCAAACGGTTGAAAGTTGTCCAAGAAGTACAAAAGAAAAAAGAAGACAGTGAAGAAAGGACCGAACTAATCACTCTCAAACACAGAATATGTAATCTACTTTTCTTAGATTAACTTTAATTCATCCCTTTCTTGTACTCGTGCGCTTGCGCCCCTTGGAGGCATCTTGTTTATCTCCAAATGTAATCTTCATCAATAAACACCCCTTTTTGGGACTTCGTCTCAAGAGATTTGTCCCTTACACAATCGTCTAATCCTTTTTTTAATTGTTAGCGATAACCCGCGCGAAACAGATGGACATTTCAAAAAAAAAGTTCTTAGAGATGGTGAGACCATTGTTTCATCAGACGGAACCTTTGAATTGGGATTTTTTATCCCTGGAAATTCCAAGAATCGATATGTGGGTATGCGGTACAAGGAGGTAACAGTTATGACTGTGGTATGGGTTGCAAACAGAGAAGTTCCACTTACAAACAGATCAGGACTCTTGAAGGTTGTTGAGTCAGGACCTCTAGTTCTACAAAACGATACCGATGGTGTCATCATATGGTCTTCTAACACATCACGACCTGTGAAAACTCCAGTTACAAAATT